ACGGTCAGGTGGGCAAATGTCTTTTGAAGCCTTGCCAAGCCTCTAGGAGCAGACTCTGGATTTATTTGCAAAGAGGGTTTGCTTGCTTGGAGTCCGGGCTGCTTTGTTCATCCTTTATGCAGCACATGAGATTAGGAAATGGGACGGGCAACAGCTCATGCCTCTTTCTCTCTTGCAGACTGTGGAGTTGGCTTTAGCACTGGTGAGAAGTGCTAGGTCAGCCACCGGAGACAAGTACAAGCTTCTCCTTCTTGCTCGGACAACGTGCTTCGATTCCAGATGTGGAATAACGTGGCTGGGCACCCGGGTGTGGGGGTCACGCACAGAAGTATCCACTTCCAGTTGTCGTCAGCCGTTGTTTTCCGGCTCCTTCCCCAAGTCGGTGCCCAAGGCCCCACTCACCTGCCCGAGGTACGCCACTGCTCAGTCCAAACTTGTCCCTTCTCTAGGGACAAGAAGAAAACCCAGTGCTCCCATGACATCAGCCACTGGTCTCTGCTAAGTTTACCAACGAGGAGGCTAAGTGTGACCTGTTTGGCCTGAAATAGTCACGAGGAAGACTGTTTTGTGAATTTCTTGTCTCGGAAGAGGAAGAGACAAGCCGATCCTGCCTGCAGGCTGGCAGCTTTCCAGGCCGACTGGTGCTCGGCACGCATCTGTCATGCTCAGACTGTTGTTTCTGTCAAGAGACTACAAACTATTTACAGTACATGCTATTTTAGAAGCAGCATCATAGAAAAATGTTAAACTTTGCTGTGTTTTCACTTGAAGAAAAAGCATGGCTCGAAACTCTGCCCTTGTGGCAACATCACAGGATCACGGTTAGGCAATCCATGCTTTATTCTTAGCTCTCTCACAGATTTCCCATGAAATTATGTTTCAAGTTACGAGTTCCCACTTTGATGGCTGCAAAATGGAGACAATCTTTCCTATGGCAGAAGGGACTGATGGCAAAATTCACTAATTTTTATAAAATAATTTGAGATTCATAGAATCAGAGAAACACAGAAAATTAGGGCTGAAGGGACCCTAACAGATCATTTCAAAATGCAAAACCTTAGTATTCGACAGGGCAATGCCTGCTTTATTCCAGGAATTTTAAATCAATACCTTAGTTACATAATATTGCTCCATAACCTAGTCAAATGATCTATCTACAAAACGCCAGATGATTGACTTCACACTATACCAAGTCCCTGAACCTAGTAATAAGGACACATGAGGAGGAAGCCAACAGTACTACTGTCCAACTGTATGACTGCACCGTTTGTCGAAAGGTCTAAGTGCTTTACAAATATTAAAAAAAAAAAAGAAAGATAAATCAAACCTCATAACCCTGATGCTATCAGGTAGTAAATATTATTATAAGCAACTTCAGCAATTGATAAAGAGGTACAGCGGTTCCAAGGCTCAGACAGGTTAAAGACTTGATCCTTCAAAGAGTTAAGCAGATGCTTACCTTTGGGTGCATCCACACGAGACTCTAAAAGTGCAGTAGACTAATTCTACTGCGCATTAATGTGTCACGGGGAAAGCCATGCCGATGCTAAGTACAATTATTCTTCTGCACATAAGCATCGCCCAAAAGATGCGTGCCGGTGCTACTGTGCAGTAGCACCAATTACAGCGCATTAAGTTAGTACCTGTTATTATAGGTACGGGGTTCCCTGGCTTTATGCTGTAAATGCATTCCAGGAAAACGGTGCGTGACTCGAATTCGCATAAAGGAAACCCACTTTACAATGCAACAAATCAGGATACGTTCCAAGATCTTGACCATACTAACCCCCAGGCCCATTTATACCACTGTTACAAGATAGTTTTGGTACTCGCCAACAGCAGACAGTGCACACAAGCACAGGGCACTATCGTAACGGGGATGGCAACTACAGAAACACGTGTCGCAGACAAGGAGCGAGGAGCACAGATCCACACGGGAGGCTATATTTTGGTGAGTGTCCCTCCCACAGTGCACCGCACGCAGCAGCTGACTGCGGGCTTCCACCATACCGATTGTATAAGAGTGAATTTACCTTGCTTATAACGAATTTTTGGTATAAAAAGGGTCATTGCATAAGAGCAAATCTGCACATACAGAACCCACATAAAGTGAGGGAAATCTGTATTAAACTTAATTATGGCATGTTAATGCACGTGTAGTTGTGCCCTTTAAGGACATAAGTAGTTTGACTGGACTCCACAGGACCTTAGTCTTTACAGGATGCGGGTCTAAATGACTTGCCCAAGGTCACAACAAGAAGCCAACAGGCAGAATAAGAAATGTGGACTTCCACCCCTCTTTTCTAAACATTAAGTGAGACTTTTACGGTTAAGGTGACCTCGCCATACTTCCTCTGTAACTTTTCTTTGATGCGATAATAAAAATGCAGAGAGGAAAAGAATAGCAGTTTCAACAGACATTTTTGCTGCAAGTTTACTAGGCAATATTATGCCATAATTGATTCATTTTTCATCTATGAATCTCCCCAGAGACACAATAATATTGCAGTGCTGTCAAAAGTCTATATTTTGTAGACTGTATTTTGAAAAAAATCCCCAAAGCTGCACCCTTGTTAATAAGGAAAAACACTTTCAATCTTGCTTTAGATATGCAGAGAACGGGTGATACAACTTGAATGTTACTCTACGACTTCAGTGGTACCGCTTCAACTAACACCAGCATCTGATCTGGCCCATACGCAGCACGCCCTTGACCTAAAGCCCTTTGAAGTCAGGGGCAGTCTTCCCAATCAGTTCAACAGGCCTCGACAAATAATGATTTTTCCACAGGGTACCGGCACAGCAAAGCACTCTGTACCTGTCAACTTATCTTGTTCAAACAAGAGAACTATACAAATCAATATTAATGAGAGAAATAACAGCTATTGCAGAAGGCAGGAATTGTCATTCCAGAACAAACCAACAGCCTAGCTAAGGCAGGGTTGTACCTTGCAGTGATAAATGGCAAATGTGTCAGAAGCAGGCATAGCATTTCCAAAATGCAGCTATTCAGGGAATGCTGGGCATTAGTCTAAAGTTGCGCCTGACGCAGGCTGGTGATTAGCTTTTGGCCTGAGTCACAACGGTCAATACTTCTCCTTATTTTTGTTCTACCTAGTGTAACTGCAGACATTATTCTCATTAATACAACCATTTCTGGTTTGGAAATGTACCGGGCCAATAATATTCTAGGGCTGCAGAGTCTAATTATTGTGGTATGATTTCTTATGCAAGAACGCAGGTTAGATTTGTACCTTATCGATTCTAACCTTATAGGTTATATTTGTACCTTGTACGTTATACTCATCTTATATGCAATGAGCCTTCTGCTTAAGAACCAGAAGAGGGCGCATCTACACGTGCATTAACGTGCTTTAGTTAATGCACATTAAATCTAGTACTTCCATTGTGGGGCTCCTGTAGACGTGTGGAGCAGGAGTCTGCTCTGACGCGCTGGAAATCCAGTGCATTGGAGCAGACTTGATTCATCGAATCTGCTGGAGCACAGAAATGAATGTGCTCCAGCAGCCTCCTGTGTCATGTGTCAGCATCCCCCCGCGCCCCTGCGCTGAAAACGTGGCAGTGGGGCGCTCTGAAATAAAACATGTTTGAGACACTTTAGTTCAAAGTGCTTTGCTGCCATTTTTTCAGCACAGGGATGCGTGAGGATGCTGATACTCATGACTCGCAAGCGTGTTCAATTAGCGCAGCTCGCTAATTAAAGCACCCGACACTGCATCTCAAAGCACAAGTAAAAATGCTCTGAGATACTAGGTAATCAGGACTCATAGTAGAGATGGTATCTTTTATTAAACCAACAAGATGTTTGCAAAACAAGTCTTTAATTTCTTTAATTCTCTACTACAAGTCCTGATTGCCTTTTCCTCTAGATCAATATGGCTACAACCAGGATACCTGAGATACTAGGTAAATGCACGTTAGCCTGTCTTAATATGCATCTACTGAAGAGCGTGGTTTTTTTAGGTGACCCTTAATACGTATTAGCCTATTTTGATGCGCGTGAACTAAATCGCACATTTTTTTAGCGGTGCTTTAATGCATCTTAAAATAGGCTAATTCACATTAAAGTGCACATGTAGGGCTAGCATCAGGTGCAAATCTAACCTGCCTTCTGCTTGACTTCAGACTAACATGCCTATCTACCCCTCACTTCTTAAGCCAGGACACATTTTCTTCCGTTAGTGCTGCTAGCCATGAAGGGAACCTCCCCCAGAAAGGGCCATCAGCCGCATGTCTGATCCTGCAAACACTTACATCCATGGTTAAGGCTACCCACTGGAGCAGAGCAATCCCACTAAAGACAAAGGGACTATCCCCATGCGTAAAGTTACTCATGAACATACTCGTTAGCAGGGTTACAGCATTAGTTATAGATACACGGGACCTGATTTTCAAAAGAGCTCAGCTCCTGGCCGGACACCAACCCAAATACCCATATTTTCGGGAAATAGGCTGACTCCTATTAAAGCATATGCCTCTCTAAACCAATTAGTTTCTAGATGCTGCCCTGCCCTGCCTTCTGTCTACACTAGGTGATGAGTACGTCTGAAAATATGGCACTACACTAGGCATCCAAGTTGGAGCTGTGCCCTGTATCTTCAAAGGTATTTAGGTGACTAGCACATTCATTTCAATGGAAATTAACTGCCTAAATGTCTTTGAGGATCTGCACCTGAGCTCATTCGAAAATCCGGCTTCGGTGCAAGAGCTGAGAGCTTAACCGTGGAAGGTAAAAAGCTGCAAATGCTATAAGCAAAACACGTCTCGGAGCATCGTCTCTGCAATATTTCCTTTTGAGGTGACCAGCACTTTTTGATTTAGGTAAGCTTCTGAGAGGAGAAAGCTCCCTCCCCAAGCTTTAAAACAATAAATCTCATGAAAAGAAAGAAATATGGATGCCTCCAGTAGGAAGCCAAACTCCTCCTGTTTTCTCGTGGCCAGTAATCCCAGGGAGATTAGGGAAAGCTTGAGGCATTTACCTTGATGCTGAGAAATGGACTCTTGTAAAATGTTCTTCTGGATTGATCCTGACAGCTGTCCTTTGTAACGGTGGCTGTCATTCTGTCATGTACCTGCCTGCCAAAAAAAGAAAAAAAAGCCATTCAGCACATTGCTAAGTGCGCTCAGTTTGTCCGTTTGGCACGGTGCCGCAAAATCCAGAGGCGCTCTGTAAATAGCCACATGACCGGTGCGTGGCCAGAAGCCGTGTTTATAAATTATTCTCAATATTTATAACTTACGTAGCACTTTGTGCCTGCAAAACCTCATCTAAGCCAAGCTCATGGTAGAGATAAGGGGATTTACTGGTGAGGAAACCAAAATACTGAGTAAACAGCTTTCTCCAGGCCACAATGTGAGCTGCGAGGCAGACCCCAGAGACAGAAGTCCGGCTCCCATCTGCCCTCCTTCCTCCCTGAAGGCTTCGCTGCCCCGGCAAGTCTATCCAGCATCGCTCCTCGCTATTCCCTTTGTCTCTCCGTCTGCCTCGCAGGACTTTGCTCCATCTCCCCAGTCACTTGGATCAACTTTGCACTTAATATAGGCCTTTTCTGGTCTTCCCAATTCTCGCAGCATATTTCAGCTACGAGGGTGCAAGGATCGTTCCAGTTGGGAGCTGGACTAGATGACCGTCCCTCCCAGCACCTGCTTCTCTGATGTCTGGGTCAGGTTCTGGTCTCGGGAGAGACCTGCATAGATAGGGGTGGAAATCTGCTGTGCCTCCCCCTCCCTTCCCGTGCAATGTATTTACCGCCTTGTTGTTCCCCAGGCCTCAGTGGCGCTACTACTTAATTACACCGGATTTGGCTGCTGTCTCCATGCTTTCCACTGTGCCGTACCATCTATTTAACCTACCTGCGTAGGTATTTATGGTACTCATCATGGGATGAGGTATCTCATGGGATACCTCATGGGAACGAGATCTGTATCACTCACGCCTTTTCTTTGAGGTTCATCAAGACAAGGGTTTCTACCGATATCCTGGAAGACAACCTAGACGCTCAGGGCGTTATTAGGAGGGAAGGAGAGGTTGAGACAGGACCAAGCTGAATATCAGCCTAATGTTTGAGCCGGGTCCAGGCTTTCCTCGACTCAAGGACAGGGCGCTCCCAGAGTGATCGCTAGGCCTCCATCCCAAATTGTAGCTCGACCACCATCGGCTGAAGAGGATTTGGAGAAGGTGCTAGTCCAGGTCATGTCTTTCCATGAAGTCTGAGCTGGGTACAGGCACAACGCCTGAGCGAATGGAGGCTGGACGTCCACCTTCCTTTCCTTTCAACAGGCAGGGTGGCTGCAGAGCCCTAAAACCCTGACTGATGGATGCAGAAATACTTGGCCTTGACCTTACGAAGTGGATGTGGAGAAGATGGCCTCCCTTTAGCTGGGGTTGGCTGCGGGCACAAAGAAGATGATGGGTCTGGAGTTAAGTTGGATGAGTGTAGCACACTCTCCCCTATCCCTTCATATGCTCCCATCGATGCCGTCTGGGCCTCCTCTGCTGTCTGCTTCATTTTCATTTCTAGCCTTTTCTGATCTCGCCACGAAAATAGCTTCAGTATCCAACTCCCTCAGCTTTACTATAAATCTTTGAAGGGGAGTGGGGGGGTGCAGTATATATGAAAGGCACTCTTCAAAATGGAGCTGTATCATAACGAAAATGGCTCATCTGACCCAAACTCTTTGGAGCCCAAACCACAGACCTCCTAAACAGTTCAGATCGGCTGTGCCCGGGGTTATTTTCTCTCTGGTGAAATCTAAATTGCACGATGTGCAGAAAGCCGATTTCTTCCTTCCGCTTTTCAGATCCAGACTTCCCGTTCGGGAAGCTGTTTGGTTTGGAGGCTCGTTAAGCTTATTAGCTATACTTGCCTGGCAATTTCTTCCCTGGGCTTACTTCTAATAAATGATCCCGTCTCCTTGTTGAGTATTTCTGTGCAGCAGCTGCCATAAACTCTAGTGCAAATTGGGAAGCGGGCGCTTTAAATTATGCTTCGTTTTTCTATAATTCTATTTCCCTCCCGAGGATAGGAAATCGAGCGGCTAATGTAATTGGGATCAAATGAACAGTTTTACTGTTGCTGCAAAGCCCGGCCATCTCGAGTCGGATCAGAGGTTGGCTTAACTGCCATGTGCATACAGCTCTTCAAGGCACTGCACAGGGATCATAAATACAGGAGCGTGAACCAAGCAACGCCTGTTCATAAGTTCTCAGTTGTCGTGTATAAAATGAGTACATATTTCCAGAGCACAGGCAGTGCTGCAGCAAAACAGAAGATGGGATTTTAAAAAAATTAAGTTATTGCTAAGTTAAAGCGTCCAAAGCATCCATGGCCTGCCAAGCACTGAAAGGTTAAATGACAGATGCAGTAGTAAAAACATTGGATTTATGTCTATACTCCAATGTCCAATGCTCCAGAAGCAGTGTGTGATGAATTATTTACAGCTATAGTCTTTGCTTATTTAGATAAGAATTTGAGGATAGTCTCAGAAATGGTGCTCAGTGGCAGGATGGGTGCCAACGTATAGGAGGTCAAAGAGTAAAAGGAGCCCAATGCACAGATTTTTATGGCGCAGTATGCAGTGCTATGTGCATTTATTGTGTTGTTATGCACTTTAGGTGCAAGTTAGAGCACCCCCCCTTCATCATTTGCTGTTGCGTGTTCACTTCCAGATGCAAGCACAAAGTCTGTTCCTCTTTACCACCCTCACATTTTAGTTCACTACCCCTTTAACCTCTTAGTCCACTTTGAAAGCAGTCAGAGTTTGAAATAGTTCAACTTCTTTTTTAAAAGGTTTTACAAAACCTATCGTAGTAGACAGGTTTTCGTTATATCAGGGAAAACCCCCAAATAGCAAATAGCATCCGAGGAATCCTTGACTGACTAGACCTGGATCATCCCTTTCTTGTACACCAGTCCCCCTCACCCTTTATGGCAACTAGTAACAGAGTCGCAATACAGCGTCTCTGACATGAGATCCGATCAAAACTGCTCCGTTACCACATGCACGCTAAACAGCTCATTAAAACAGATTTTTTTTTTTAAATTTAGATTTCTTGATTTACAACTCAATATTGAGTTGTGTGTGGCCCAAGATGTGAAAGTAACTCAGCTTAAAGGGTGAAACCTTAATTAGAGATATTCCAAACTCCATCATGTTAAATCTAATCTTGGTGACGAAGGCACGAGTCATAACAAGGTAAATCTGCCGGTTTTCATGTCATTTTTAAGCACAATGTTCCTTTGTGAGCGAAGGGAATATCGGGTAACTAAATAGATGAGGTTACATTGATGGATGCTCATATGCAAAAGGAAGAAATAATTTAAACGAGTCACTGCAACGGCCATTAATGCCCCACTGGTTCTCCTCTCCTTCGAAAGCCAGCCAGGTTACCACGCTCCCCTCCCCAAGCCGCATATACAAGCATTTAGCTTTCCTCCAATGAGTCAAACCACCTCCAGCGGGCTGGGCTTGCTGTATAAAAGCACTCTCCTCCGTTCTGCAGTCCTTCCCTAATGAACAAATGGTTCTCGTGTAGAGACAGAGCAATGTAGTACGGGCTCTGGATGAAATATTTTAGAGAAAGGCAAGATCCCTCCCCCAATCTGAGTCTCTAAGGAAGGGAGAGATGCAGAGACGAGACAGGGGACGTGTTCCTTTGCAAAACAGGCAGTTTTCTTATTAGAATACAGTGAAAGGAGAGAGAAGTAGAGAGAAAAGCATACTCCTTTTCTTCCAATTTCCGTGGGGTTACTGAACTGTTAAAACCAGGGGTCAGGGATCTATGGCCCGTGGGCCAGATCTGGCCCATGGAGTCACTGGACTCAGCCTGCAGACAAGGGGGAGGAGGGGGGTTGACAGCGGGGACTCTGCCCGTGCCAAACCGTAGCCGAGTGGCGGGGAGTTTCACTTGTGCCACAGCTGGCAGCAGTGGAAGTGGCTGGGTCATACTGCCAGGAGGCCTCGGACCTTGGCAAGGCCATTCCAGCTGCAAAAACACAGCTGGCTCCTAACTCAGACACGTGGCTGGGTTAAGCCTGGAGTGCCTAACCCATCAGGCAGGATTGAGAATGACCCTCCGAGCCCCCGAAAGACTTGTGTTACTGGCAACACTCGTTCTGACTCTCTACAGCACAGCAACGAGGCCGTGCACCAAGGCTGCGCTGCCACTCGTGCATGCGCCCCACCGCCGTGGACGACAGCCATAAATCAGTACATGCTGAAGTACCAGCTTTAGTTTCACTTTGCATGAGAGTTCAGACAAGCCGTCGGTAACTTGTGTCAGCATGCACTGGGCCTGCCCCCTGCTCCCTGTGACGCAGCCCAGCTTTGCTCCTGGCGCTGGGGAAGGGAGTGCAGGGAGTTCTGTCTGGGGGGTTTTCAGCCGGCACTAGAGGGTGGGAGCAGGTGGACTGAAGCCTCCCCACACCTCGGGCATGCAATCCCCCCACCCCATCCTCCAGCGCTGGCTGAAAAAACCCCAGAGCGAGCTCTCCCCACGCCCTTTACCCCTCCCATTCTGAAGACAGTGTCGGGGCTGGGAGGACAGAAGGGTCAGGCTAGGGGAAAGCGGTTGCAGACTTGCAGGCACTCCAAATTGCAGCTGGATCCCCCAGCCCCTGGAGGTCAACAGTGAACATCTGTTGGGTCCAAGAGATTTCTGTAACTCGTAGCGCTTCCTGTAAAGCACTATGGGTAACAGAGGGGACTGCACTTCTGTCTGCACCCTCTGAATGGCTACAAAACAGGCCAGAACTGCTTGCAGTGTGAACTATAGGTATAGCACTGGGCTGGCACTGGAAGGACTGGAGTTCTCCCTGGCTCTGCCTCTTGGGTGTCCTTGGGTAGGTCACTACATTGCTACATACCTCAGTTTCCTCATCTGTAAAATGGGTGCAGTGCTTCTGCTCTCCTTTGGCAAGCATTCCAAGTGCCCCACCTGAAAGGCACTCTACACAGAACGAGGTGTGATTGCACAATCCAGCCTGTCTGCTATTCCAGTTCCACATGCTTCATTTTAATCCACATAAGACGTCCTTCCAACAAAGACTTGTTTATTGTTCAGTCAGACTTCTGCA